TTGTCTTCAGCAATTGTGTCGGGAAGGTGAGCATCATGGAATGCCAGTTTAATACCACAAAGTATTCTTGCATTGAGGGAGTACTATCTCAAGAATTGTAAAAGAAGTTTTCTTTTGCTAACCTTGAAAGATCCCAACTCTATTTCTCAGGAAACTGTTCAAGTATGTGTGTATCAGAAATGCTTTGACACCCCCCCCCCCCCACCATGGGATTGAACAATAAAACTGTATGGGGAGGGCAAGGATATATTAGAATGAGTAAGATATGTCAATAAAAATATTATATTAAAAAAGGAAAGAAATGCTTTGTCTCAAAAAGAATACATTTTAATGATTTTGCTATTGAGGTAGAACTATAAAATTAGGTTATCTAAAAAACTCAAGGACAATGTTGTTTAGAGTGAATTGCCCAGGAAGAATGGCAGAGGAGCATCTCAAAGGTACACAAGTTCATTTTGTAAAAAAAAATATATTGAAAATAAATTTTCAGGGAGAACACATGTACTGGGTAAGCAACAATAAGTTGACTTCAATCTTGTCATTTACTAAAGGGAAAATTGTTTTAAATAGCATCTTTTTCAGTGGTTTCTTTGTTTTTGACAAAAATCCATAGACACTAATAGCGGGCATAACCCTGCCATTTTCATACTAGCACTAAGAAGAGGTGAGAAGTTGGGGAAGAAATGACATTTCAACCGTGCAGCCTCTATGAGCATTGCAGGCAATAAGACCAAACTTTAAATTCTCTACTAGCATTGTGAAACGTATGCGACATCCTTTGAAAAATTCTTAGAGGTTGGTAATTTACAAGGGACACTTTTACACAGGTAGTTACCGTAGTTGTAGCCTCCCCCAAAATATGCAAGGAAAATATAGAACCATTTCCTGGGAGATGAGTGTGTGCCAAATATGAGGAGGATGTTTTGCCTCACAGGTGACAGTCTTGAGAAAGGGCGTAGTCCCCTGGAGATTAATTTGGGAGAAGACCCGTCCTCCTGTGCTGCCGCTGCTGGCACCATCTAGGCAGGGCGTGTAAATCCAGTTTCTTGTGGATGCACAATTGCTGGTACTTAGACCAGCACAATTTTGTTAGAATTCCAAAGTTCAAAGGGAACAAAGCATTTTTTTAAAAGCATATCTCAGATAATATTAAAATAACATTCTTTGAGAAATATGCACTGCTTATCTTCAATCCTAAAAATGAATTGTGTCTTTTTTGTTTGCTTATTGATTGATTTTGAAATGTGTTTTTCTTGTTTTATTTCTTTTTTAAAAATAATTTTATTACAATTCTTATCACAATCCATACGCACATCCATTGTGTCAAGCATATTTGTACATTTGTTGCCATCATCATTCTCAAAAACTTGCTTTCTACTAGAGCCCTTAATATCAGCTCCTCATTTTCCCCCCTCTCTCCCCACCCCCCTCTGCCTCATGAACCCTTGATAATCTATGAATTATTAGTATTTGAAATGTGTGTTTTTCAAAGGTTTTATTTAAGGTGATTTTGGGGTATTTGCAAATGCACATTCTCAGGTGTTGAGAATGAATTAGATGTCAGCTGTGTAACCCAAAGGAAATCACTTTGTGTCTTTGAGCTTGAGCTTATCTACCAGTGAAACAGTCTACATTTTCTCTAAGGTTCCGTTCTTTTCACTTTGCAATCCTATGATTTTTAAAAGGTAGACTTCATTTTATAATATATGACAGAACCTAATGCACCTGAGTTTTATTAAAATTGAATACCAAGTTATATAATTTAATAGTCAGGAGTACTTGTGGGAAAAGCAAATAGATTTCAGTGACAACGACACCTTCTGAATGACTTTCTGAGTTTCCTTCAACAGAATCTAATTGTGTTTTCCTCTAAATCACGGTTCTCAACCTGTGGGTTGCGACCCCTTTGGGGGTCAAATGACTCTTTCACAGGGGTAGCCCAATCCATAACAGTAGCAAAATGACAGTTACGAAGTAGCAACGAAAATAATTTTATGGGCTCACTTTCACTCACTCACTGACTCACTCTCTCACTCACTCACTCTCTCACTCACTTTCTAATTCACTCACTCTCATTCACGGAAAAAAAAAAATTTTATGGTTGGGGGGTCACCACACCATGAGGAGCTGTATTAAAGGGTCGCAGCTTTAGGAAGGTTGAGGACCACTGCTCTAAATAGTAATAAAAGAATGGAAATGACTCTCTTGATTCTAATCCCCCAGGGGTCATTTCTGCTTATTCTCATCATCATAACTTGCTGTCACCTAAAGCCCTGAGCTGAGACCATAAAATCTCTAAGCTGCATAGCATTTGAAATGGATGGTTACAACCATTGGAGGTCACCAATCTGGTTTTGTTTTCATCCTGGTGTCCCAGCTGGATATTTGGAGCTAATGTTAGCTCTGATCGCTTTCATTAACTCTCATATCCAGCCGGGATGAGCTTGCAGGCTTTATTCCTGATCACAGACCTTCAGCATTTGCATCGGTGGTCCGGTGTCTGGTTACATGGCATCATGTGTGTCTCATGCAATGAAAACTCTTGTTTGTTGCCTTTAAAATACAGACTTCTCACCACTTAGGATGCTCAGCATACCTAACTCCCTGAGTCTGTTTCTCTTTCATTGAGGTAATCATATGGATCACACAATATTGACGGATATTATATCATAATATATTCATGACCACTTAATTAAGTATTGAGCTATCAATCTGGAAAAAATGTTGATGCCCTCTAGAAAGGATATTAAAGTATTCAGAATCTGTAGTTGAAGCCCAAAGCACTTTTAAGGACTTACTTAGAAGATTTTGCAACCATTTCTAAACCTTTCTAATGTGTAGTCCTGTTTTTCTGCCTATTTTCCTTTGCCACAGAAAGCCTTTGCTTGCTCCTCAGAGAAGGTGTGCGCTTACAGATGTTTGGAGCTGCGTCTGTGGTTGTGGTTAGCTTAGGGCAGAATCCATTGGTTTCACTGCAAGTGTTTTAGGAGGAATTGAGAACACCACACCCAATAGATTTGAGTCTAGTACGAATTTGTTTGAAATTGGTAGGGGGGGGGGAGCTAAGAGGGGAGGGCCGGTGGGTGAGGTCAAGGACGTTTCAAAGTGGGAAACAATGCCCATTTGACTCCCTGTTCCATTAAAGCATGCTTTTGTGGCAAACCAAAAGGCTGGGAATCGAGGGTGATGAAATGCAGGCTTTCTGGCCCTCACTCTGTTCCCAGTTCCTGGTTGTGGGAATCTGTTCTGAATCCAACTGCAAGTGAAACATTCTCATCCGTGCTGAAACAGCCAAAGCGACCCTCCTGCCAACCCCACTGCTGCAGCTTTGGCTCCCGAGGCCCGGAGCGGAGCTGTCTTCCCGAGACCTGCGCCAGCTGTCAAGGTGGCGGTGATGAGACCATGACCAATCTCTGCCCTGCGTTTTGGCAGTGACCTTGAGACCACCAGCTTACCCAGCTGCTTGCTCTTGTCCTCCCTCAGCTGCTGCTGTTGCAATGCCAGCGGGCCAGAGGGAGGGAGATTCCTTTGGCTCTGCCGTTCCTACTGGAGGCAGGTGCCAACCATGGTGCCCGGCTTTCCTACCGCCTACCACCCGCTGGCTACGGTTGCCTTCCAGGTGTGTGTGGTGTGGCCGCTTGTTCCAGCCCTGGCTAGTCGTCCCTGACTCTGGGTAGTGGGTGGGTCTGACCACTCGCCTGTGCGCAGACCCGTCTCCTCCCAGAGACATGCTTGGCAGCCCCGTGGAGCGATGCTCAGTGACAGTGACAATTGACGATCTTGGGTGAGAGAAGAGCCAAGGGTTCTCTTTTTGTCCCAAGGGTCTGCCTTCTGGTAGGGCAGGGCTTCCTTTGGGGAAATGGTCACCAAAAATGCTTAGCGCCCAGAGAAATATTTTCTCTCCAGCCCCGCAGTTGCCCTTTTACTTTGGAAAACGCCTCCCCTGTTCCTTGTCCTCCTGCTGATCTTTTCCTATTATTATTATTATTATTAATCCATTTTTTGTCATCGGACATTTATTGACAGAAATCAAAGTGCTGTGTTCCTGGGCAGAGCGCCTGCTGCAAAGAGGTGTGGTTCCCGAGGAATGAGACACAGCCCGACAGCTGAGCTTACACTGTCCTCACATAACCTCCCGCCTTAAATATCGCCAATATTTAGTCTTGCCTTATAAAGTAAAAATGCACAATACCTTCCAGAGTTTAAGCAAGCCCAAATGCCCCTCTTGGCTCCGTTGTATCTCCTGTGCGCTGGAGGCAGAGCAGCACCCCCCTCCCCCCGCGCAGACCTGCTCTCAGAGTCCCGAAGAGGTTACTAATCAGGGAGACTCCGCCATCGATCCGATTGTGGAGACCTGGGGGATTTGTGTGCATTGTTTTTGCTGAAGCCTCCTGTGATTTTGCCGCGACCAGATCCTCTGCAGCGAACTCCATGTCGCAGCTTGGGGCTGCCTGTGTCCTTTGGTGAGAGTAGAGCTGCACAGGAGATCCTTTGTCTAGGAAGGGCTAGGCAGAGAAGATCACTTTGGAGTTGCTAAGCTCTGCATTGCCATTGGCTGCTCTCTTTGTGGGGCTGTTTTTGCAAAAGGCATGCCCAGCACGTCTACAGTGCTGGCAGGCCAGGGCTGCCTTTAAACACCATGATAATAATACCAAAAAGCAGTTTGCAGAACCGTTCCACTATAGAGGCTTCCTCTGCAGAAGCAAGCAAGATGGCTACCTCGTGGGCTTCGCTGTGAAGAATGCAGAGGCTAATTAAGACAGACTTTAAGGGGAAAAAGGGTATTTCCCGACTTCATCTTTCTGCAAGGTTTTTTTTTTCAGTGACTTTGGGAGTATACATTTTACATAAGCTCGTAAGACTCTCTGCCTAGCAACATGCTGGTGATTTAAAATGGCATAAGTAGTTTTACAGGGAAATTGCCAAAAATTTAGGAGGGGGGAGGTGGGAGTTATTTTTTTCTTAAATGGAGGCTCATTTTGCAATTTGATTTTTTTTAGGTTATTAAAGAAAACAAGAGGCCCCAGAGGGAAAAGAAGCCCAAAGTTTTAAAGGTAATCAGCTATTGATTAAATAATATTTATATATTTTTCTATTTCATAGAGTATTTTGCTGTCACTTGGGGGTAAATTTGGAGTACAGTGGATTTGAATCTTCCCATATTTTCAGCTGATAAATGCATTTTCACACAACTGAAGTGTCCTCACCTTTTCCCCCTATGTGCTGCATAATGTACATTAGCATCCTTATTGTCAACTCCACACAAGTCTGCACAAGGAGAAGTTTATGTGCAAAGTGTTGTGAATAAAATTAGTTTTTCTTTGTAGCATCTGCATTTGTGTTGTTGCATCAGTGTGTCAACTTAAGCTCAGTAGGAGAAAGGTATTATTTGAAGTTGACAGCTCTAATCCATTGTGATTTTAATAGACCTTCTATCAGACACTATTTTAAAATGGGGGTGGTGGTTCCTGTAGAAAAAAAACAAGCTCTCAAAAGCTCTTAGTTCAACTTAAAATGTGTAAGCCAGTGAGTTGTTTTTTTTTTAATGATTTTATTGGGGATCTTACAGCTCGCATCACAATCCATACATCCATCCAGTCAATGAGATCTTAAACACTCAAATTATCATTGCTGAATCCCAAGATCTCATTATATCACCTTTAATTTTGACATTCATAGAGCTATAGAAACATGCAGATTTTCCTTATTTTCAATAGTTTGCCTAATGAGTATTTAGTAGTAGCCTAATTCTGTCATAAGCTAACAGCCTATATTATGAGCTTTAGTCTGTGTTTAGAAGGGTTAATTTAAAAGGATAGGGCACTGCCAAAAGTTGAAGGCTAGTTTTGGTCTAGCAAATAGGTGTTTATGTGGTAAAGGCTTCAAGTGATAGAAAATCACTATTGTGAAAATAAGCAATCTGAGTAAGCAGCCTTTCTAATTCATTCAAAGCAGTAAAATACATACACATATTGCAATAAAACCAGGGATCCTCAAATTTATACAACATATACTTAATTTAAAACATTTACCTCAATCATAGTTTTTTGCAAAATAAAGTTTCCATGCTCAAGGTGGAACAACATGTTGAGCTATGGTTGTGACACAATTTGTGCCTCATTTGTTTCTCCAATGTAAATTGAAAATGTTCTTGAACTGGAGAAGCAGACCTTGCATTGTTTTCTATTGCCTTGCCACCTCCGGTTTCATTTATTTATTTATTTATTTATTTATGTTTCCTGTGTGTACACAGCATTGCCATGTACATTTTGATCAGCCAACAAGTATTTATTTAATATTTACCACACCGTCAGCACTGTGCTAAGCACTGTGCCTTGAATGAAATTGCTTGGCACAGATTCTCATTGAGCTAGGGCAAATAGCATTAAACCCTTTGCTGTTTTTCTTTGGCATATTAATCCATCCACTTCCTCTTAAACTCTTCCTTTCCCTCTTTCAAATATACAGGACTTTATTTTCTGAAAATCCGACTTGGTTTTTTTTTTTTATTATTCGTTTTATTAGGGGCTCATACAACTCTTATCACAATCCATACATACATTAATTGTGTAAAGCCATTTGTACATTCATTGCCCTCATCATTCTCAGAACATTTGCTTTCCATCTAAGCCCCTGGCATCAGCTCCTCATTTTTCCCCTCCATCCCGGCTCCCCCCCTACTTGTATTTTTTAATCTCTTACAATTTCTGTGTTTTTTGTATCTGTCTTAGGCATTTTGCCTCAACTTCTTCAAGTGAGAAATATTTATTGCCTTGTTGTTATAAATAAATGGCTTTCCAATTTGGGGTAGAAGGGTTATAAACTACTTAGAGAAACTAACATAGATCAAATGTGGTAGCTAAAGTTCTCCCACCTTTGGTAGGAAGCAGAACTAGTCTTTGGAGCACTATTTAATTCTATGTTTATTTTGTTAGACTGCGGGTGTCCTGTCATCTGAAATACATTTCAGAAGTAAATGTACAGTGTGTCATTTCTTTTGGGAATCATGGCAGCAAACTCTAGCTGCTGCTGCTTCTTTTTTTACTTTAATAAGTATCTGGGCGGCCAGGTCTCCTCTGCCACAGCAAGCCGGACTGAATTGCTGCTCCCTGCCCTCTGTACTTAGTGATTATTGGACAAGAGTAGGAAAATGCTGTAAAAGGAAAATAAATAAATAGAGGGCCTAATGCCAGGGGCTTAAGTGGAGAGGAAATGTTTTGAGAATGATGAGGGCAATGAATATACAAATGCGCTTTACACAATTGATGTGTGTATGGATTGTGATCAGAGTTGTATGAGCCCCTAATAAAATGATTAAAAAAAGAAAGAAAGAAAAATCCCCTGGTTGTCAGCATTTAAAATATTTTCTTTAATTTTCCATCAGGAACAATGTTTTGTGTTCTTGTTCAATAAAGCCTCCATTTCTTAGCTCCAAAGCAGAAATACTGAAAATGTTTAGATTTTAGCTTAGTATGTAAAACATTTAGCTAGAAAAAGTACAGTATTATACTTATAAAGGAGATACTGAACAAATGAAGTATGTATTTGTGAGAAGATTTTATGAGAGATGATGTTACTCCAGATGGCAGCTACCTAAGGGAATCAGCTATGGGAATCCCACAGGTTACACCTCGGTCTCTTTCACAGTTCTCTGGCTGCCCTCGGGTACCATGCCAGACATGTCCTCGGCTCCCTTTGGCTGTCACCTCCCATCTCTTCAAATCCCTTGCATTCTTTGCTTTTTTCAGCGTGAAGCCTACAGATATTATCTATTAGAACAGCAGTTTTCAACCTGGGGTTCACGACCCCTTTGGGGGTCGAACGACCCTTTCACAGGGGTTGCCCGATTCATTACAATAGCAGTATTACAGTTATGAAGTAGCAGCAAAAATAATTTTATGGTTGGGGGGCTCACCATAAATAACATGAGGAACTGTATTCAAGGGTCGCGGCATTGATGTGTGTATGGATTGGGATAACAGTTGTATGAGCCCCTAATAAAATGTTTAAAAAAAAAAGAAAGGTTGAGAACCACTGTATTAGGAAGTAGTTTGATAGAGAGCTGATTAAGGTAATTGGGTGTAGACTTTGTTACTTGTTCTATTGTACTCTGATCTTGGGTACTAAATATTAAATCTCATTTGTAGGAATGAAGTTCTCTGACATGTCATATATTTCTTCTTTGAAAAAGAAATCTTTGAAATCATCCTACTATTCAGCTTTTGAAATCATCCCACTTTTCTTCAGCTTTCGTAACTATAAGTGGCAGCCTCTCATTTCTGACTGGTCTTCCCCTATCTGAAATGACTGCCTGTCCCCTACCTCTCATTGCCCTCTGGCCACAGTGAATTTCACATGCCTAGCACTGCTGGTGGGCATGGTCATGCTCATTATGAGTCCCTGCCCACACTGGGACAGGAGTACCAGCTTCCTGCTAAAGCTCTATGTTGATAATCACTATTTTTGTAGAGAGACAACAGCTTGTTAGCTATTTGTGCTATAATTGTTTCCTTGACTCTTTACTAAGGTACAGGTGGGAGCATTCTTATAGTAAAAAGATGGTTTGAAATTCAGTTGTCTGAAAATGTCAAACTGATAATTTCAGACCTTGGCACATGAACTTGGCTGTGTGACATTTACTTTGGAATATCTTTCGGTAGAAAAAAAATTTTTTTAATCATTTTTATTAGGGGCTCATACAACTCTTATCACATTCCATACATACATCAATTGTGTAAAGCGCATTTGTACATTCATTGCCCTCAACATTCTCAAAATATTTCCTCTCCACGTAAGCCCCCGGCATTAGGTCCTCATTTTTCCCCTCCCTCCCTGCTCCCCCCTTCCTCATGAGCCCTTGATAATTTATAAATTGTTATTTTGACATATCTTGCCCTGTCCAACGTCTCTCTTCACCCACTTTTCGGTTGTCCGTCCCCCAGGGAGGAGGTCACATATAGTTCCTTGTAATCGGTTCAGGTAGAAAAAATTTGTGTAAAAATATCCCTTGGAAAAAGTCAATATACTATAACATTTTTTTGAGTAGATAAAAGGAATTATTTTAAAAGGTATGACTTGGGAGAGATAACATTTAAAAGTGATGAAGTAACCCAGGGCTAGCACCAGTAGAAAACCTACCGTTAGCACATGTCAGAACCCAAATAGAGTATTAGTTGAAATTAAGTGGCATAAGCTGTGACCTTTGTGGTAGCTTTTGGTAGAGGGATCCTCCAGCATGGACAGTCGCAGATGGGGGAGGGGTGTGGGTGTGCATATCCTGCCCTCCAGACTCCTGCCGCTTTCATCACTTGATCTCATTTGGAAAGTTAGAGGGAACGGACCCTCTGAAGCACAGATATAACCAGCATCGGTGATAACCATGATGGTAGTGTCAGAGCATCACTGAACCAGGGACAGGTGAGATGGAACATTAGGGAAGGTTGGCTAGACGACATATAAGAACTGCTTGCAATCCATCTGTATGTTAAAATCATCGCAGAATAAAATGTATGATCATCCCTAAGAAGGTGCTATAAGGATATGTGTTAGGTATTTTTTTCTTGATAGAGGACATTTCCTAGCAACTTGGTCATAAAATATCATCAAAGTAGTATTTGGAAGGACTTGGTGAACAAGTAGAAAAAATGTCAGTGGATATTAAATTGGGAATCCTTCTAGAAATAGTGATTTAGGAAAAGAAAGAAAGGAACTAAGTGACCTTCCTGTTAGGCACTACTGGTCTTCATGTTTCCTTACTCCTTAATGAGTGCTGATAAAGGAGAAGTTTGGGGTGAGGCTTACTATCAATATCTCACCAGGAGAGGACAGCAGACTTAGTTGCATATTGTGATGCTCATATGAAGTAGTTTCAAAATTTCATAGAAAAATGGAAACTTTAAAGGTTCATGGCTTTTCCCCCTCATTGACATTTGAAGCCCCTTTCTATGTATTTTTGAAACATTTTGTAAAAAGTCAACTTAAAAATAAATCATATAAAAAAATAAAGAAAAAAATAAATCATATTCTCACATAGTCTTGACTCACATGACACTAT